TATCCAAGACACATTTCTTTTGCTCTGGGAATATAAACATTTTGTACAAAGACAAGTATACAGTATGGCTTATTCTGAACATTTTTTTTTCTCACCACATTTTGTCTATGGAATTCTCTTTATAAATGCAGAACTATTGTAATTTTTATTACTCTAGATAAAAGTTGATGCAGGTTTTATAAAATGGCTACGTGTATTCCTTAATGATTCATTAAATGGGGAAGTAATTAGCATGCCATTAAAGCAAAAGAACAAACTAAAATGTTCTACTGTTCCTTATTTTTCTGATATGTGATATGTAGTTTCAGAATCCACGTTACATCACACCAGCCTGTCATTTGAGTTTGTTTTTCTGATTGCTTAACATCTGTGAATTGTTAAGATAACTTATTACCCAAACCTTCAACCTTCAGTTTAGATTACTTTGGAACACATCCCAGGCTATTTAATCAGGATATAGTGTACTCCGCATAGTGTACTCTCTAAAAGGCATGTGTGTGTGTGTTTGTGTGTGTGTGTGTGAGAGAGAGAGAGACAGAGAGACAGAGAGACAGAGAGAGAGAGACTGAAGAGTATCAATAAATAGCATACCTATTTTTTAATTTTTGTGTTGTACTGAGGCTTCAACTCAGGGCCTTGGTTTCAATTGGCTTTTTCACTAAATGATGGTGCTCTGCTTCTTGAACCACATCTCATTTCCTGCTTTTTGCTGGTAGATTGGATATAAGATATAAAAATATCTTGCATTTATTTGTCTAAGCTGATTGAGTAGTAGGATTACAGTCCACAGAATACAAGCTGCCTTATCCTCTTTTAAAATTATATCTGCTAAGAATTTCTTCCCACCCTACTTTTTGTTTATAGGCCCAAGAAAAGCTAATACTTAATACCAAGCTAAAAGAAAATCATAAACATGTATAACCTTCCTAGTACTGGGGATACTGTTGTAGATAGCCAGCATATTTGATAAGATATGTATCAAAAGTTATGACAATATTCTATTGTAATCTTATATATATCCTTGTACTTTATAACTCATGTAAGTACTCTGTGTGTGTGTGTGTGTGTGTGTGTGTGTGTGTGTGCGTGTGTGTGTGTGTGTGTGTGTGTGTGTACACCAGTCCTGAACTCAGGGTGGGCACTGGGTTTTTGCTCAAGACTATTGCTACCAGAGTGTCAAGGACTTTTCTGCATGGGCTGGCTGTGAATCAAGATCCTCAGATTTCAGCCTCCTAAGTAGCTAGGATTTCAGGTGTGAAACTCTGTGTCACTCAGCTGAGTACTTTCCTTTTTAACTGTTCTTCCTGATATGAATAATTCTTATAATTTAAAACAGAAATTGAGAGGTAGTAATTTAATAAAATCTAAGTACCAGCATGTTTATAGTTAATGTTATTTTCCTGTTGGAGGATAGTTTCACCCCTTAGTTGTAAGATAAAGATTTTAAATTATAATAAACTGTGAAATATGACTTGGAAAATTTGGAATTTAATAGTTTTTTTCAAAATGAATGTTTAAAATAGAGTTCACTTATCTGCAATCTTGTCTTTCTTGCTCCCTCTTTGAAGCTGTTATAATGAAATAAATTTTTACTAAAACTTTCAAAAGTAATATAAACTAGTGAAGCACTCAGACTTAGGTGAAAAGAAATTTAAAACCATTATGTAATATGACTATTTTTATTTTACTTATTCAATAAGTTTAACCTTCTGGAAACATTGAAAATTAAATAAAATGGATTATAAATGTTAATTTTAATTGAAAATTTAGTTTTTGTTTCCTTCTATGGATCTTATAGCATTTCTGTATATATTAAAAATGGGAAACTGACCCAAATTTAGTGATTGCTTTTAAATCATGCAATATATGAGACTATAAATAAGTTTGTGTAAATATATAGAAATTACTTAGACATTAAACGAAGACTATCATTTGTCTGACCTGTTTATTTGGCTTTCTCTCATTTTCGAAACTGCAATAGTTACAAATTTTATTTATTTATTTTATACATTCTTTAAGGTAAAAAGTACCTTTTTTGGATGTTTAGTTAAAATTTTCTTGTTGTGAATTTGGGAAATTCAAATTTAATGTCTAGTTCATGTAAAATAGTAAAATTTTCATATCAATCTTCTTGAACCATATGATTTCAAATCAACTTATGACTTTCAAATTGTTTTGGACTTTCATATTAGCTAAAAAAGCAACAAAAGAATCATGGAAAAAAACATCTACAGCCTCAATCCTAGATTCTATGCAGAGATCTATGTCACTAATCATGAAATCCCAGTCCTGGAATACTGTTCCTTTAAATGTCATCCCTCATTCTCTCGAGGTTTCTGAGAGACTTATGAAATCAGGGTGATGGTATCTACAAGGTGCAACATTTGATTTGACTAATATTTTAAATTGAAGCTATATAATATAAACTATTTTGATATATGCTCATGCAATGGATTTATCTTCATATTTATGATCAGAGTTGAAAGCATGCCTCAATGATGGCTTGGAAACTGCTTCTCTTTGCTCTGGTTGTCATTATTTTTATGAGGATTATTGCCCTCTGTCTTGTACTCATTGTAAACATCATCAAGACTAGAGAGAATAGTGATGAGACAATTTTCCAGTAGCTCTACTAGTGCAGTATTACATTGGAATGTTCATGTGTGAATAAAATTCAGCCTCAGACCTATTACTTTTATAGTTTTCTACATGGATTATTACTTCCTATAGCATTAAAAAAGAAGCTTGAGGTTAGTTTATTGCTAAGAAGCTAGAGAAAATACACTGCATGGTCTTCTCTTTTGTGCCTCTCTTTGTATGGTCCACATGAATTACTTTCACGATTGGCTTTAATAATGGTTTCTAAGAAGACAGACATCTTTTAAGTCCATTGAGATGCTGAAGTTGGTTCACATAAATACTAATCCTAAGGCTCTTTATATTAGTTTTCTAATCAATTGTCTACCTCACTTAAGAGTTTTACTACTTAGGAGCTCTAAATGAAACTTCAGAGTCCATTATGCAAAAA